GCGCCGACATCGGCATCGTTTGATCATAATTTAAGGTTGACGAAAATTGATTGGTGGTGCGTTGCATTTCCATAGGTGATGTCCGACTAGGGGGATAACCTGTAACAACTATATCTAGGCTTTAAACCTAAAACACCACTTTCCCCTAAAGCAAATCCATTCACATGCAGTATTGATAAACATCCAAAATGTTTTATACATGAAACTGACCCTAAAAAGTGTACGTGCTCTTGCAAATGCAGAAGTTACAAACCTGCAGTACTAAGATCCGATACAAAACGAACATTTACATTCGGTAACAGCGCCCGGAAACCTTCCTGCCATTCGTGAAGCTTGGTACCATCAATTTGGTTTGCTGCAGCCAGAGAAACGTTTGAGTGAAACTGTGTGTTACTGCTGAAGGAAGGGCATCGTTGTGGCTGTGCTGGATTGAAGACCAAATTACTGGGTGGATTCACGAAATTACCGACTCGAGCCATCTGAGGTTTTGAAGGTGGAAAATACGGATGTGACGAGTACTGACTAGTGTGAAATACCGACGACAGTTGTTGGTTGAATGTCTGAGCGGTTTGCGAAGAAAATTTTAGTGGCTGTGAAAAACAATCGACATTGGCGTAATTGTTCGTTGCCGTTGTTGTTAAATCAACATCTGTTCCAAGTGCATTTCTCACCAACATCGGAGAAGCACCATTCGAAATACCCATTGAAGGCCAACCACACTGCAGACCCAGTGACATCAGTGACGATGATACAGATGTCATCCCACCAGCACTAAAAAACTATCCAAACCGTAAGTTATCAAAAAAGATAGAGCATATATAAAACCATTTGAAAATAACAAGAACTCGCGAAATGTCCGTAGATGATATTTATGGTCAAGCAGTTGAAGAAAACACGGATACGGGAAAATCAACAATTCTTACTTCTGTGTTGAGCATTGCGGCAAAATCGTTTTCTCTTCCTCCAACAAATCTGCTAAACCTTTCGCAGACTCCGAAATAGGATCAAAGCCTGAAATTTCTGTACCTTAAATCCCATCTTAACTTGCAAATCTGATAGTGAATTCATTTAGTAGTGATTGTTTGCTGGTTTCTCCAAACGACTGTGAAATATACTTAAAACTATAGAACATTTCAATGTAGCCAGTATAAAAAAATTGCTGGAACACACAGAAGCATTCCAAAGAACAGTGAAAAGAGTTCTTGGAAATAAAAACCTAAATCATCATCACTATATACACTGAGCCGTGTGCTTTTCGGCAACATTCTAGTTTGTGAACTAGACAATGCTGTCGAGAAATCAGTGATCGCATTCTTTGCTGTCAAATTATCAACTTTTCCACAGATTCCTAGTGCACGTTGCCAATCACATGGTGGAATATCATTTGTCGACTGTGAACTGTTGTTATTCAATAGCGCTTTCGCACTGCTCACATCTGCTTTCTCCTTAGTCTACAACAGCATCATAATTTACTAGTTTGTTGATGTGAGAACATTAAAAAAAAAAAAAATGTAAACTTCTAACAGTACCAATAACCAAATCTATTTCATCTACCAACAGCTCATATTAATCCAATCAGAAGTGCTACAAACTATAAAAAGTAACTAACGTTTAAGAACATTTTCTCTATCGAAGCGCATGTGGTAGCAGTACGCGGCATGACACTTTGACTAGATGAAATCCATTCTGACAACCGAGATCTAAATTGTTATGTATTCAAATCCAAAAATTTTATTTAACAATGGAATGAAAGGCTAATTTTCAACTTGTAACAACTGTAACTCTCAACCAGAAAAGAGTACGAAAATCAATCCCAGAGTACTCTTTAGAAAACTTAAGTCAAGATCTGTACCAATATCCAACCAATCTAAAAGAGATGCCATGAAAACATGAGAAATTCTTGATTCTGGAAACAAAGCTTATGTTGCCTACTTTTTAACCACTGCAAACCTCTGCTATCTGGTTTTTTCTAGCTGAACCGAAAAAAAAAGGATTGAAATCACAATAAAGGCAACAGTAACGGTAGATGAGGATAGGAAAACTGGCTTTTCCTACCAAATATCAATTATTTTTTAACCTTTGCTTGTTTACACATGATGTGAAGTCTGAAATACAAACGTCATCCGACAAAAAAACAAATCTCAAATCCGCTATACGTTAGTTCTCCATCACTGCTTTGTAAAACCTGCCTTGAACCAATTCCCTCATTAACTTTTGTGACGGGAATCACCGCTTGCTGCTCAAGCATTGCAGACAATGGCGCATCATTTGTTATTCCCGAAGTTTTTTCTAGCTGAGACCGGGCCTGAAACTCCACCCTAAGGAATGTAAAGTTAAACTGTTAAAAGAAGCAATAATAAGCAAAGTGGCTGGCTACAGTCGGCAACAAATAACCATGACTCCTGTTGTCCTTTTTTTCAGTATTTTCTCCGGAAAGCATCAAAACTGTATGATCTCCGTACGATTCAATTCAAAAAGGACAAACAGAAAAAGAGCTACTGAAACAACATAAGCCAATATCACTGACAAAAATTAGATATTAAAACATGACTAACTTCGTTCTCTTTATCTGAACCTTTATTCTCACTAATTCGCTTATTATTTATCACAGAACACGGCTGATTTTTTGATACTTCTCTGAAAAAAAGCCGAAGTTATCCATCACAAGCACAGACTAACGGTCTTAATCTACTTCACCAGAATTACTTATTCATTTCAACAACACTTCAGTAGCAGGGAAAAGCAATTTCAACAGCATAACATATGAGCCTTTTAAAAAAAGCTTAGAATGTTGACCCTGAAAGCACTCCATATTTCATAAGAATTTTGCTCTACGCAATCAAAAAATTGACAAAATAATTGAAATAATAGAGGAAGATTTCATTGTGTCTATAATATGACCACATGCCGCGTAAAATGGAAAGCAATTTCAACTCAAGCTCATTTCAAAGTTATACGTTTGTATAACTACTTTAAGGCTATTAACTATTGGGAAAGCTTGTCTCTATGCAAAAATAAATGCTTTACCTACCCATTCACTTGGTTTGCAGCTATCTTCATATCATTCGACGGTGATCTACCTTGTGAGGATTTTCCTTTATCCTGACTATTCTCTATCCGCACTGAGCGAAAGTGCAGTCCACGCTCAGCGCTTTCACTTAAAAATACGCAGAAATTACAGGTAAAGACAATACATGGTAAAATACAAATAAATGAAGTCACGTAAACCAACAATTAAGAAAAAGTAATTTCACTAACTCTCAAAGTCTCCACTTTTGTAAACTCATTTGGTACACGCTTACTTAACCACTACTAATAGAAAAAACATCGATTTTTTGCAACACTCCAAAATTCAATGAAAATATAAAGTCTGTCAACAATCGGTTGTTGACAATGCTTAAGGAAAAAAATTCTGGAATGAACAAACAAAAGAAGCATGTGCTACAAGCATACAGTACTTACTTTGATGTTTTTCCATCCGTATTTATCATAAACGAAGTCCTTCCACGTTGACTTTTCTCCCTGAGAGTTGATTCAATCAGTCGTTTTTCGTATTCTGCATGTCGCCCAAGATGCATATCATCTTTCGTAAAACTCACTTCTGTATCCGCCACGTCATGCAAATACATACATTCCTATAAAAGGGCATAAATTTTCTCTGCTACAATAAATAAACTATTTTTTATTTACAAATCTCCACATCTTTTTCAATTTTCTTGGGAATCAATTTTCTACTTCTGCATATTAAAATGTCAAGCATGAAATCGAAAAGCAAGCATATAAATCTCTTTCACGAGGTCCATGTAGAATAGACTTTATGCACAGTCACAATATCATGAGAAACACCACTGGAAAAGTTAAGTTATATGACTAAACTGGAAAATAAACAAACCGGTTTATAACACGGCTGACTGCGAAGAAAATTTGTACAATATTTTGTCGTCCCAAGTGATGCCTTTACAATACGTCCATCTAACTGTGCATTATTAACAGCCTAAAAGAAAACTGTGCGGGAAAAGTACCTATATCAAAATCATAAAATCTATCGCCTTCCATGATATCCCCTCTTTAAAAGATCTTACGTAAGCTGCTGAGTCTGGTAAATATACTTAAGAAAGCTCTATAATGAATTCTAAACCATACCTTCATAAAAACAAGTGAGCGGTACCCAAAAACGCAAACCTGTATAGCTCTAAGTGCATCTTCATATCTCGCGTAAGTTACATAAGCTGTGCATGATGCCGACTGTGGACCGCTCAGTGATGGTGAAGATCCCACAGCAACCTAAACAAGGTACTATCATGCAAATAATTACCAAAGCTCCTTTCTAACCTTTTATCAGTGGTATGAAACAATATTCGCAAAACTGACCTTCAGTATGCGGCCATATTTTCCAAAATACTCGGGTTTCTTCAAAGTTTCCGGATCTGCAACTCTGGCCGATAAGCCCACTACATACACGAGATTCTTTTGTAGCACTCTGGAAAAGGACATACTGATCGACGAAGTTGAAAAATGTTCCACTTTCCATAAGCCCTAAGATTTCCGTGAAAACTTTTGCCATAAAAAACAAACCTGTATGAAGATAGATGTTTCCTAGACTCACATATCTTGATCTTTTGCAGTTGCTGTTTTTGACGCTTTTCTGTTTTCATCTTCTGAACATCTGAAGCAGTCAGAGGTTTGAAGTTGACAGGATCTTCCGGATACGGTTGTCTACATGCCGGACATAATCCATTCTCATCAGTTCGCAATCGGTGCCAACAAAATCTACATATCTGAAATCATGAATGTCGAAGCACATCTCACTGTAGTATTGCCATAATGTACAGGACATGGTGGCAAGGAAACATAATATGGCCGCAAAATGGAATAAATTAATATTGCCAATCATCAGACCAGCCCATCTGATTGGTGGACGCTGTTTAAAAAATACGTTCGTCCTCAGATCTACTACGGTAGTGACAGACCAACAAACCAACATATTTGGAAAAAAAAAAGACGAAATATGAGTTAGCTAGTACAGAAGAACTTTATTCGTACCTGATATTCACATTTGCACGGGTAAAAATTGATATCATCGATTTCGAGTGCTTCCATGCACAAAGGACACTGAAAAAGATTATAATTGAGATCAGTGCAATCAAGAAGTACTAAGAATGTCTCGTGAGTCAGGAAACAGGAATGGCCTAGCATCTTTCGAAGTTTGTTCGACAGTGAATATCGACCAACTAACGGTATACTTCAAGAAGTATAGATGAGTAAACAGAGTGTCTTTGGGTGAAATTGAATAACTCATGTGTGTAGTGCCACAACCAACTCATCTAAAGGAGATTAAATGCTCATCTACATGTTTTTTTCCCCAAATTAAGAGACCTTTGGACAGCAAAAACACAAAAATTCTATCTGACCGTGACGGAAACGAAAAAGCGTATACCTCTTTATCGGATTGCTCATCACTAGACATCGCTTTCCACCTTGTTTGGTAATAATGCACTTTGAAAAACTACAAAGAATTTGTATACTCATTTCAAACCATGTTTAACATAACAGTTTTTATGTGGCCATTACCACAAAACACTCGTTATGACAAACGTTTTCCCATAAAAGTGACGTCTTCCAACTTTACCACCACAAAATCGACTTTCCAAGAAATTACATCTTTTAAGTGGAGCGGGATGTAAATGATACCCCACAGCTTATGTACAACAGTAAAAGTGTATCCTGCTATAACAACGAAAGAAAATTGGTGCTGCGTTTGGAGCCAACCTCCAAGCGTCTGGATTACCACAGCCTCGTCTGCATTATGAGGTAAGGATACTTTGATTGTCATGACGAACTTAAGAATACCGGAAGATGTTCAGAACTAAAGTGAGATTTCCCGGAAAAATTCAACTACTGTTTTGTCTTCTTCCGGCATGGTGAAACGACCAGATGTTTTCCACAGCAATGGAACCTCCTTCACCCTAGGTCCCCGTCTCCATCAACGACGGAAGAAAACAATACAACGGCTACCCACACCTTCTCAGAAGTGCCTGACACCAATCAATTACAATATTTCACCCTATTCAGCCCCTCCCCCTATGAAATTTCATGTCCCGAAGTGTTAACGGACGATTCAAAGTTGGGCTGGATAAGCGATAGCGGGTTATAGTTCTTTCCTTCCCTAAAGTGCCTTTACCAAATGTCGGACGGTACTCCACAGTCATACCATAGTTTTCGGGGAACTGATGAGTTAAATCTTCGTCTTCTAGCAACAAGGTAAAGGGATTACGAGTCCCAGAAAATAACGAAGGTGATGGAAGTTATTGACTTCTTTTTTCTGTTTTCACTTAAAAGGATTTTCCTGCGTTTTGATTCTTTCGGCAAATGCGATAGTTTTTACATTTCGCCTTTCTTCGTTACCGTTTTAGGTATATTATTTGAGAGAGCGACGTTTGAATTCCCTAGTACTTACTCTATTGGTTATGGTTTCTTTTGCCTCATTGGCTAATACTACGCAACATCACGTAGTGAGTTATTTTGAATAATTTCGGCTTGAGGGTTGTGATCATAAGTCGTCGTCATTTGCTTTTTGTGGACAAGAAATACATTAAGTGCTCC